GCCGATAGGGTGCGGCAGATTAGGGGGCCCCCATTGCTGCTGCGGGCCCAATCTCCCTGGGCCCCTGTACCCCCTCTTCAGCTGCTGCCGGGCCCAGAGTGTGCCCCATGGGTCCCTGAGGGCCCCCCCATTGCTGCTGCCAGGGGGCACAGGGTTCCCCAAGGTCAGGGGGCAAAGGGGCCCCGGAGTAGAGCACCAGCTCCACTGCACCCTCCCACACGGCCAGTAGGGGTCCCGGTGTGCCGGGGGAAGTACATCAGCCATGGGGAGTACGGGGCAAATTTTCCCTACTCGGGGGGGGGGCAATTTTTCCCAACCCGCCGGGGAAGAAAAAGTCGGTATGTGACTATGGGGCAAAAAGAAAGCGTGGCCAGGGGGCCCATGTTGGGATAAGCGTTGGTCAGATATGAAACGTCGCCATTCGGGGGCTGGGAAAACCCGGGGATAAAGATAGGGCGGTTCTGTGCCCCACCCGGGGTTCCATTTTGTCATGGGTGCTGATGGGTCCCTGAAACCGCCTCCCATTGCTGCTGTCTCCATTGCCACACTCTGCCATGTGCCACTTTCAGGTCTCCTCACACTTGCTGGTGTGTTACATTTTTTGTCATAGGGTGCTGGCAGATTACGGGCCTCCCATTGCTGCTGCCAGGCCGTAATCTGCCATGGGCATCCAGTACCACCTCCTCATGCTGCTGCCAGGGTCCACAGTCTCTCATGGGTCCCTGTACGGCCTCCCATTGCTGCTGTCTCCATCGCCACACTCTGCCATGTGCCACTTTCAGGTCTCCTCACACTGCTGGTGTGTTACATTTTTTGTCATAGGGTCTTGCTGGCAGATTACGGGCTCCCATTGCTGCTTGCCAGGCCCGTAATCTGCCATGGGCCCCAGTACCGCCTCCTCATGCTGCTGCCAGGTCCACAGTCTTCATGGGTCCCTGTACGGCCTCCCATTGCTGCTTTCTCCATCGCCACACTCTGCCATGTGCCACTTTCAGGTTCTCCTCACACTGCTGGTGGGTTCCATTTTTTTTTGTCATAGGGGTGCTGGCAGATTATGGGCCTCCCATAGCTGCTGCCAAGCCCTAATCTGCCATGGGCCCCTGTTACCGCCTCCTCATGCTGCTGCCAGGTCCAGAGTCTCTCATGGGGTCCCTGTACGGCCTCCCATTGCTGCTGTCTTCATCGCCACACTCTGCCATGTGCCACTTTCAGGTCTCCTCACACACTGCTGGTGTGTTCCATTTTTTGTCATAGGGTGCTTGGCAGATTACGGGCCTCCCATTGCTGCTGCCAGGCCCGTAATCTGCCATGGGCCCCCCCCGTACCGACTCCTCATGCTGCTGCCCAGGCCCGTAATCTGTCATGGGCCCCTGTTGTCGCTTGTTGGCATATTTCCGCTCGTTCAGATGCTCCTTCTCTGCTACTCCTCTTCTCGGATTCCGTCAGCAGTCTTTCTTGGAATCCGTTTCCAAGAGACAACAGTTTGCGAGCACGCACCCGACGGTGCAGAAGCTGAACGTCCTCCTGTCCAAGTTGCTGCTGCCAGGCTCGTAATCTGTCATGCGCCCCTGTACCGCCTCCTCATGCTGCTGCCAGGTCCAGAGTGTGTCATGGGCCCCCGTACCGACTCCTCATGCTGCATGCCAGGCCCGTAATCTGTCATGGGGCCCCTGTACCGCCTCCTCATGCTGCTGCCAGGTCCAGAGTGTGTCATGGGTCCCTGTACGGGCCTCCCATTGCTGCTGCCAGGCCCGTAATCTGCCATGGGCCCCCGTACCAACTCCTCATGCTGCTCCCAGGCCCGTAATATGTCATGGGCCCCTGTTACCGCCTCCTCATGCTGCTGCCAGGTCCAGAGTGTGTCATGGGTCCCTGTACGGCCTCCCATTGCTGCTGTCTCCATCGCCACACTCTGCCATGTGCCACTTTCAGGTCTCCTCACACTGCTGGTGGTTTCCATTTTTGTCATAGGGTGCTGTATGGCCTCCCATTGCTGCTGCCTCCATGTGCGGTGATTCTAAGATCGATGGCACTCATCTGCATGTCATACTGACTGTCAGTATTATTTCTCTTCCCCAGCAGACTCCAAGGGCATTTAAATTAAAGGTACAGTGTTCTGCACTAATATAAAGGCTCTCTGAAGCCTAGAAACACCCTTTTATAAGTTAAATTCGCAGCGAATATATTCGACTCGAATCAAAATTTTTCCACTAATTCGCCGAATCAGCCGAATCGAATTTTTGAATACTTCGCTCATCTCTAATAGCTACTACAGAATGCGTACAGAACGCCCCCCAGAAACATCATTTCCTGCGTATGTGATTGGCTCACTGATTTTCCCAGAAGTCTGCACTAAGGGCCAGTTCAAACCACATGCAGTCCAGTGTGTTTTTTTCTGCATCAAAAATGCATTCCAATCCAATGGCATAGTTCACACCAGTACAGTTAGTTCCAGTGTATTCCAGTTCCAGAAAAAAAAAAGTAGAACATGCTGCATGTTTTATGTACTGAACTGTACTGGAACGTAGTAAAATGCATCAAAAATGCACCAGAACACACCTAAATGCACCAAAAATGCACCAGCAAACACATGTCCTTATTTAAGTTGAAGAAAAAGAGAGGAGGGAAAATGAACAAAAAACACATAAAAAATACATTGACAAAAAGCATAAAAACGCACCGAAACGCATCAAAAACGTGCATACAAAAACGCACCCGGACTGCATTTCTATGGTGTGAACTGGCCCTGAGATACAAGTCAGCTTTCAAGCATCTCCTGCAACAAAAATGTCAATTTTGGTGAGATACTTCCAATAGGAAAACATGTTTAAAGGGATGCAGACCCTGCAATTGTCCGCTTTAGACTCCTGCAGGTGCAGCAGCTGATTGATAATTAGGAAACTACCCATACAGATTCACTCCGCACACGGACACAGACAAACAGCTCTTTCTTCAGAATAATAAAAGGTAGAACTCTGCAACAAAGTTTGTTAAAAATCTTGCAATGTACTGTACATAGATCACCCAGAGGGGAATGCTTTTTTCTCAACAAAAGTGGAGTTATTGCTTAATGTTTTGAGAATTAAAGTTAATAGGGAAAAGAAAAAGCTTGAGAAAATATATAAAGAAAAAGGTCACTAAACTGACTTCTAAAGATGTTCCTTTTATTTCTTCTAGACTATAAAGCGTGTGGCTTCACCGAGGAAAACAAGCCAAACCATGCAAAACCATGTGCAAATCAAATACCTGGCACAAATTGCATTGTATCACCAGTCGGGGTATCAGTGTGGTTCAGCACCATTAATGGCCGCTGCGGATGTTTTGATTATTCAGCAGAAACAATTGTATACAATCCACAAAAAACATGCGAAAGTATTTTATTGTGCCGCATGCTGCATACCATGGTAACTATGCATAGCTTACCTTTTAACACGGTTGGCACTTTAGGTCCATCTTTTCAAGCACAATCAAAAGTTCAAGATAAACAGCCTTCAGTTTTATTGGTGAAGAACCAAGACAGCAAAAAGCCTGTTACAGGTAAGTTATTCCAATATATATATATATATATATATATAATATACATCATATTAGATTATAACTTTCTTAGATAGAAGTTAAAGCAGACCTGCACCAGTGAAACTACACTACATTTGAGCACTGCCAACTGCTTAGTTCATTTTTAATATTTAAAGCAAACCTATTCATCCATGTCTCTGTTTTATTTTGCTGAGAAATCACTTTGAAGAACATCCTCTAGCATTTCTGGCTGTGGCAATCTTGAATGGGGGTAGATTAGGCATTTAGCATTAACTTCCTGGAATCCATCTACTGTTAGCTCAGGCATGCAGACAGGAGGGTGTGCTAAGCTGAGAAAGCCCCTCCTTCCCTCCTGAAGACTCCTGGGATGCATGACACCATTTTCCTAGGCCAGAAACCAGGAAGTAACTGAAGAAATGTAAAAAAAAAGTATAAATATAATATACAATATCTTCCTATCTGTTTACTAATGTTAGCAGCATAAGGATTAAAAATAGTTAATGTTGATTGAGAGAGTGAAGTTCAGCTTTAAAATCATGCCCCTGCATAGCGAGTAAGAAACATAGAACTACTGTATGCTAGAAATGCTTATCGTTGTCCTGTTACCTCATTTCCCTTCAGTTAGCAGTTATTTGACCAATCTCGTGGCATATGTCATTTCCCCTCCCGCAGATTTTAATTTATAACCAGTGCAAAGTTGCCATTGTGTGGCCAGGGACGGCAGAGAGACTTAAGGAAGGCCTTGTTTAAAAGCATATGTGTAGCTAAGCTTTTTATCTTCTTGGGGTTTTTGTGATAGGGGAGATTTCCTTTCATGTCTTGTCTTAGAGACAACAGGAAGTGAGAAGAAATTCCACAAAAGTGAGGGCAATTCCCATCTTAGATAGTTGTCACCAGTACATTTTCCCAATTGAAAGATTAGCTCTGCAGGGAAACAGATGGTAATAAAAGCTGGGCAGAGGGTCTGTTCCTTTTCCTTTCTATTCTGAACTAAAAAAAATAAGTTGTGCCTTTACACAGTGAAAGTGATATTAAACCCAAAAGCAAACTTTTTTTATATTGCAGCTTACCAATTCTCTTGTGATGGCTGCATTAGGTTTCTTGTTTAGGCTTTCTTTCTTTTATTTTCATCTGGTAATCCAGACAGTAAGTCTGTTGTTTTTCAACAGAACACACTGTCCTGCAGCTGTGGCAGTTATGAGACAAATCATTTACCACTGACAGTGTTGCTTACAATGATCAGCTTTAATTTATTTATGTAAAATCCCAATAGAAAAAAAAATGTTGCTGTAAAGGTTTGTGTAAAGGAAGTGTGAGCTGGAGTTTGGCTTTAATTTGTTGGTGTTTCTAAATCTGTTAGTGCATCTAACACTCCCCTCCGCCAGACTGACAATGCTGCTGTTCAAAGGTGCCCTTGTGCACCTTCATCCAGCGTGGAGGCACCCTAATACTGGCCAGATCACCAGGTGAAAAGAGAAGGGAAAAAACTAAAAAAAAACTAAACACTGCTCATAAAAAATTAAAGGAACACTTTTTAATCAGAGTATAGCATCAAGTTAATGAAACTCCTGGGATATTGATCTGGTCAGTTAAGTAGCAGAGGGGGTTGTTAATCAGTTTCAGCTGCTTTGGTGTTAATGAACTTGAATGGCCCCCGCGCTCGTCTGACCTAAATCCAATAGAACACCTCTGGGATATCATGTTTCGGTCCATCCAACGTTAAAGGGTCTGGAGAAGCCATTAAAGGGTCTGGAGAAGCCATGGAGAACGTTATGCTGCCTGTAACATCGTTCAGCATGACCGTTTTGGTGGTGGGTCAGTGATGATCTGAGGAGGCATATCCATGTAGGGATGCACAGACCTCTATAGGCTAGACAATGGCACCCTGACTGCCATTAGGTATCAGGATAAAATCCTTGGACCCATTGTCAAACCCTATGCTAGTGCAGTGGGACCTAGGTTCCTCTTGGTGCCCAGCCCCATGTAGCAAGAGTATGCAGGCAGTTTCTGGAGGATGAAGGAATTGATACCGTTGAATGGCCTCCGACCTCTGGGGTATCATGTTTTGGTCTATCTAAGGCCACCAGGTTGCACCTCAGACTGTCCAGGAGCTCAGTGATGCCCTGGTCCAGATCTGGGAGGAAAAACCCCAGGACACCATAAGTCGTCTCATTAGGAACATGCCCTGACATTGTCAGGCATGCATACAAGCACGTGGGGGCCATACAAACTACTGAGTACCATTTTGAGTTGCTGCAATGAAATTTCAGCAAAATGGATTAGCCTGCTGCATCATTTTTTCACTTTGATTTTTGATGTGTCTTTGAATTCAGTCCCCTGTGGACTGATAATTTTAATTTCCATCAAACAATGGGGCATCCTTACGTTCCTAACACAATACCCGGTCCACATCCGTATGGATATCCAGCATGATATTTTTCCCCTTTGAGATCTGATGTGTTTTCAAAGTGTTCCTTCAATTTTTTTGAGCAGTGTACAGTATTACAATTTTTAATTTTGGGTTTAATACCACTTTAAGGTATGGGTCTGATTTAAGTATTGCAATGCAGCACCCGGTAAGTTCAGTGGTATGAATAGGTAAGAGAAAAAAGAGTAAATACTTTTAAGGTGCCAGAACAAGTCATAAAGTGTATACAGTATACTAAAAATGGTAGTTTTTACACAGTCATAAAATAGTACATACACCAGTCTGATACAACAAGATACTAAAAAAAATACTATACCACCATATTCCCAATGTTGCCTGTCTATTATTCTACATGATGAGTGCATTCTCTTCTAATAAAGACCCATTTATTACATAATCCCAGCATTATTGGAGAAAGATGAGCAAAGGACTCTGTGCATTTTGTTGATTCCCAACTTCTTCAGGAGTTAATGGTGGGTAAACAATCTAATACAATACAAAAAGAAACTATAATTATTGACAATATCTACAGACTAGCATACCAGAGTACAAATGTTTTGTTTCATGATGTGTACATACAAACTTGATAAAACACCATCCACATGCAATCATGTAGAGATCAGAATTGACAAGGTGGGAACAAGCTGGGTATCAACAAAATATGTAGAATTGATTTCACATCTTTCTCCAATAATGTTGCGATTATGCTATAAATTGACCTTTTTTAGAAGACAGTCTACTCATTATTTAGAATAAGAGACAGGCAACATTTGGAATATGAGCATGGTGCTGTAGTATTTTACTATGTGTGAGTCCTAGTGTATTGGGCTTGTGTATAAACTCTTCTATAACTGTCTAGAAAAAATTGCTGCCCACAGTCAAATTGTTGGGAGGAGAGAGGAGGAGGGAGCAGGGGTGTGGCTTGCTGGGTGCTGTGTATGTCTATGAATGCACACATCACTGACTGGGAGTGAACAAACATGGGTGTCTTCATAACAGTCATCTTAAACAGTTA